TATTCCATTGTGTATATATGCCACAGTTTCTTTATCCATTCATCTATTTAAAGGCATCTAGTTTGGTTCCACAATTTAGCTATGTGAATTGTGCTGCTATAAACATTAATGTGGCTGTGTCACTGTAATATGCTGTTTTTAAGTCCTTTGTGTATAAACCGTGCAATAGGATAGCTGGGTCAAATGGTGGTTTCATTCCAAGTTTTCTAAGGAATCTCCATACTGCTTTCCAGATTGGTTGCACCAATTTGCCATCCCACCAGCAATGTAAGAGTGTGCATTCCCCCCCACATCCTCGCCAACACTTATTGTTGCTTGTATTCTTTTTTTTTATTATTAGTTGTTCAAGACAATACAATGATCTTGACATATCATTCATTTGATTCAAATAGGGTATGAGTTCTCATTTTTCCACGTGTACAGATTGCAGGATCACATTGGTTATACATCCATGTGTATATATATACAGCAATCCTAGTGTCAGTTGTATTCTGCTGCCCTCCCTATCCCCCCTGCTATTCTGACTGGAGTGAGATGAAATCTTAGAGTAGTTTTGGTTTGCATTTCTCTAATTGCTATAGATGTTGAACATTTTTTCATATATTTGTTGACTGATTATATCATCTTCAGTTCCTAGGCCCATTTATTCATATTGGGTTATTTATTTATTTATTTTCTTTGGTGTTAAGTTTTTTGAATTCTTTATATATCCAGGAGGTTAGTGCTGTATCTGATATGTGTGTGGTAAAAATTCGCTCCCATTCTGTAGGCTCTCTCTTCACCTCACTGATTGTTTCTTTTGCCGAGAAGAAGCTTTTCAGTTTGAATCCATCCAATTTATTCATTCTTGATTTTATTTCTTGTGCTTTAGGAGTCTTGTTAAGGAAGTCAGGGCCTAATTCAACATCATGAAGATTTGGGCCTACTTTTTCTTCTATTAGGCTCAGGGTCTCTGGTCTAATGCTTAGGTCCTTGATCCACTTTGAGTTGTATTTTGTGTATGGTGAGAGATAGGGGCTTAATTTCATTTTGCTGCATATAGATTTCCAGTTTTCCCAGCACCATTTGTTGAAGAGGCTATCTTTTCTCCAATATATGTTTTTGGAGCCTTTGTCTAGTGTAAGATAACTGTGTTTATATGGGTTTGTCTCTGTATCCTCTTGTGAACCATTGGTCTACAACTTTATTTTGGTGCCAACACCATGCCATTTTTGTTTCTACTGCTCTGTAGTACAGTTTAAGTTCTGGTATAGTGATGCCACCTGCTTTACTCTTCTTGCTGAGGATTGCTTTGACTATTCTGGGTCTCTTATTTTTCCAGATGAATTTCATGATTGCTTTTTCTATTTCTATGAGGAATGTCAATGGGATTTTGATTTAATTGCATTATATCTATATAATGCTTTTGGTAGTATGGTCATTTTGACAATATTAATTCTGCCTATACAGGAACAATGGAGATCTTTCCATCTTCTAAGGTCTTCTTTAATTTCTTTCTTTAGCATTCTGTAGTTTTCATTGTAGAGGTCTTTCACCTCTTTCATTAAGTTGATTCCCAATTTTTTTTGAGGCTATTGTAAATGGGGTAGTTTTTCTAATTTCTCTTTCAGAGGATTTATCACTGATGTACAGAAATGAGTTTGATTTGTGGGTGTTGATTATATATCCTGCTACTTTGCTGAATTCTTTTATTAGTTCTAGAAGTTTTCTGGTGGAATTTTTCAAATCCTCTAAATATAGAATCAGGCCATCAGCAAATAGTGAAAGTTTTAGTTCTTCTTTTCCTATCCATATTCCTTTAATTTCTTTCATCTGTCTAATTGCTCTGGCTAGTGTTTCAAGGACTATGTTAAATAGAAGTGGTAAAAGAGGGCATCCCTGTATTGTTGCAATTTTTAGAGGGAATGCTTTCAATTTTTATCCATTTCGAATGATGTTGGCCTTGGGCTTAGTATAGATAGCTTTTATGATGTTAAGATATGTTCCTAATATCCCTAGTTTTTCTAGTGTTTTGAACATGAAGGTGTGCTGTATTTCATCACATGCTTTTGCTGCATCTATCGAGATGATCATATGATTTTTATCTTTTAGTCTATTGATGTGATGAATTACATTTATTGATTTCTATATGTTGAACCAACCTTGCATTCCTGGGATGAACCACACTTGATCATGGTGCACTATCTTTTTGATATGTTTTTGTATTTGATTTACTTGAAAAATTGTGCTCTATGTGTAATATGAATTGAATTGCATTCTGCTGTCATATATAACAAATTAGAATAAATTAATAATTCTAAAAAAAAATCATGAAAATGAACAGAGGATGGTTTCCCCTGTATACTATTCCTTTTCTTGAAAGTCACCATCCCTCTTTCCAGACCTGAGAGGAACACTCAAGAGAGTGAATTTAGTTGCTTTAATCCTGATTGAGTAAATTCTGATTTCCCACAATAAAATAATAATAATAATTTAGACTAGCATCGCTTGAATATCCATGCTTCCATAACCTGTGTTTTCAAAATGAGAAATGAAAAATCTCCCACTTCCATGGGCTCGTCTGCTCACATAAACATAGCAGGTTCTTGAAGATTCTCTCTCCTTAGAGTGTTTTGAGAATTTCCAAAGGGGCATTTCTCTTAAGCCCATGAACCAATCTGTGCTGTCAGGGTGGCTGAGCCAGCTATTGCAAGCTCCAGCTGCAGACCAGATGATGGTGAGGATGGGACTCTACTGAGCAGCTTCTCAGAGCCCATTTACTCCTGCCAGAGAATGTTACAAGGTCACATTCACTCCTAAAAGGGTGTTTTGGCCCAGAGTGTAACAGAGTTCAGTGAAACAGCTTTCTCAGTTCACGTTCAGATCTCCCCTTGGCAGTGGGATGCCTGTATACCCCCACCCAAGAGTGGTAGTTTTGAGGAACTTCTGATAGTGTGGGACTGGAATTCATCAACATTAGTAATGTTGGTTACTGTTACTGAGCCCATCCCACAAGGTGGTGATTCCTCAAGGTGAATCATCTTTAATGAGGAGGGAGTTGCCATTAACCCTCTTGCAATCTGGTCCCCATATGGTCTCCTCTATCAGCCATGTCTGAATATCTGAACTCCAGATGTGAACAGAGTTGAAGCCTCTTCCCCAGAAAGTTCCTCAGCCCCACTGTAACTCAATGGAGGCAAATGGACACTTGTAGGGACAAGTGTCCCCTAGCTCTGTCAGCTAGGTTTCTCAGTGGGAGACGGGGGAGACTGGAAGAAGAATCTCAGCTCTAGTCCAGTAAACCAACCAGTTGCATAATGCTTTTCAAAGTACATCTCCAATTTGATATTCACCAAAACCCTGTGAGATAAATAGAGCAGATATCATTATCTCTGTTTTATGGATTAGAAAGTCAAAGCAAAGTTTAGTGACTTGCCCAAACTCATAACACAAGAAAAAAAAATAACTATCTGGAATTGGTACTGGGACTCCAACTCCGAGTCTAGACATAGGGGAGGCAGAACGGTGCTCCTGAAACATGCAGACCGTGGAGTCACACTCTGTATTTGGATTCCCAGCCCTGTAACTTCTAGCTGTGTGGCCATCTGTAAGTCCCTTCATTCCCAGGCTTTGGCTTCCTTATCTATAAAGTGACAATAACAGCATCTCCCTCCTAAGTATCTGTGAGATAAACAAGAGTATACATGTGAAGCACATAGAAGAGAGCCTGGCACATTAGCAAGCATGAGAAAGGGAGAGCCAGGATTAGGACCGAACTTATCCTGTCTCCTGTCCAGTGCACATCACACTCAATGTCTTTCACCAACAGGGAGATCAGAGGGTGAATGGCTATAAACAAACTTTTTACCCATTGCCTATATGATTTTTCAGTGGACAAATACCTGATTAAGAAAGTGTTCCCTACTGTACTCCAGATTGGAACAATAAAATATACTGTAGTTAATCCCAGTTCTTATCAGTCTGCATAGGGAGCCTGCAAAGCTGCTTTAAGATAATGATACTCTTTAGGCTGGGGATATAGCTCAGTTAGTAGAGTGCTTGCCTCGCTTGCACAAGGCCTTGGGTTCAATCCCCAGCACGACACACACACACACACACACACACACACACACACAAGTCTGAGAATATGATATGAAAACTTCAGGACCAGAATTCATTGAACAAACTCTTTTTTGACTGAATGGTAATGAAAATACGTGAGAACTGAATTGTCCTAATGAGCCAAATCACTCTGTCTTAAAATCATGGCACCTTAAATAACTGTTTCATACTTTCCCCTGATATTTACTGTTTTCATTCCATCTTTATTTTTAAATAATGACTTTATAGAGATTTAATTTGTATAACCTAAATTCACCCTTTCAAAGTATACAATTCAGTGGTTTGTTTATATTCAGAGTTGTGCAACCAGCACCATATAATTTCAGAATATTTTCATCACTTGGAAAAGAAACCTCATACCATTGGCCATCTCTCCCCACTCCTCCTGCTTATTCCCTGGAAACCATTGAGTTGCTTTCTGTCCTCATGGATCTGCTATTCTGAAAGCTTCATCGTTCACCTATGGAGCTTCTTGTGATAGGTTTCTTTCTCTCAGCTTAATGTTTTTAAGGTGCATTCCATGTTAGAGCATGTTATCAGGACTTAATTATCTTTTTGTTGCTGAGTAATCTGTTGCATGCATATATCACATTTGGCTTATCCATCCATCAATTGAAGGATATTTGCACTCTTTCTACTTCTTAGCTGTTATGAATAATTCTGCTATGAAGATCTATGTGCAAGTTTTAGAGTGAATCTGTCTTCACTTCTCTTTCAAGATGCCTCTATGTTTAACATGTTTTATTTAAACTATGGGAAGTGCTATATATTTATTGAACAATGAGGTTGGGTTTTTTTTGTTGTTGTTGTTTTTGTTTGGGTATCAGGTAATGAACCTAGGGGCACTTAACCTCTGAGCCACATCCCCAGCCCTTTTTATATTTTTTATTTTAAAACAGGTCTCACGAAGTTGCTGAGGCTGACTTTGAACTTGGCAATCATATTGTCAGCCTCCTGTCGGTCCGGCATGAACAATGAAAAACTGTCAATTAGCACTTGGATGGTAAAGATATTTCTATTCATTTTTATGTTTAACATTCTGTGGAACTGCCAACCTATTTCCCTAAGTCTCTTCACCATTTTAGAACCTCACCACAATGTTTAAGAGTTCCAGCTTTTCCACATCTTCACAAATACTTATATTTCCTATCTTTTTATGTTTTAGCCATCTTAATGGGTCTGTAGTGTTGTTTTAATTTGAAATTTTTTTTAATCTTCTTGGTGCTGGGGATTGAACTCAGGGCCCAGCTCATGCTAAGCATGCATTGTACCACTGAGCTGCATCCCAGGTGCTTTGGATTTTCCTCAAGGACTAATGATTTTTTTCTTCTTTTCATGTGCTTAATAAATACTCATGTTGCTTTTGGTGAAATGTTTATTCAGTCTGGGTTGTCTTCTTATATTGAGTTTTTGTCATTATTGTTGATGTTGTTTTGTTTTGTGAGTCAGAGTCTCTACGTTGCCCTGGGTACAAGTGATCCTCCTGCCTTACCCTCTGAGCAGCTGGGACTTTAGGTGCTTGCCACTCTGCCTGGCTTTTATGTTGAGTTTTCATAGTTGTTTATATATTCTGGATAGCAAGTTCCTTATTTGACAAAATTTGGAATATTTTCTCCCATTCTATAAGTTGTCTGTCCACTCTATTACTGGTGCCTTTGAATCATGATGAAGTTCAGTTTATGTATTTTTTATGTCACTTATGTTTTTGATTTCTTGTCTAAGAATACCTTGCCTAATTCAAGGTCATGAACATGTACCCTTCTATAAATTTTATTGTTTCAGCTCTTACACTTAGGTCATTTGATCGACTTTGGAGTTGATTTTTGTGTAAGATATGAATAGGTGTTCTGCTTCCTTCATTTGCTTATATCCAATTGTTATAGTTTAGGTGTGAGGTGTCCTCCAAAAGCTCATGTGTAAGAAAATGCAGGAAAGTTTAGAGGTGAAATAATTGGGCTATGAGAGCCTAAACCTAATCAGAACATTAATCTGATAATATGGATTAACTGGGTGGTAACTGTAGGCAGATAGGGAGTGGCTGGAGGAGGTAGGTCACTTAGAGGCATGACATGAGGTATATATTTTGGCCCTGGTAAGCGGGACTCTCTCTGCTTCCTGATTGCCACGACCTGAGCTGCTTCTCTCCTTCACACCCTTCCTCGAGGATATTCTGCTATCACCCCCACTGAATTGTCAGATCACTCTTACTGAAAATCAAATGTCCAAAATTTGAGGATTTATTTCTGCACTATTTCGTTGAGCTGTATATCTAGACTTATTATAGCACTACACTATCTTAATTGCTGTAGTACTGGAATTTCCTTAATGAATAATGATTTGCGCATCAGAGCCCCTGTAGTCCAGCTACTCAGAAGGTAAGGCAGGAGGATCAGTTGAGCCCAGGAGATGGAGGCCAGCAGGGCCACATAGACCCTGACTCAACAAAACAAAACAACATCAACAATAATGACAAAAACTCAGCTTTGTAGTAAATTTGAAACTGTAAAGCCTAAGCCCTCCAACTTTGTTTATCCTTTCGAATGTTATTTTGGTTAGTCTGGTCTCTTGAGTTTCCATGTGAATTTAGGATTGTGTGATGGTTAATATCATGTATCAACGTGACTGGCCCCCAGGGCACACAGAAATTAGTTTAAAATTATTCTGGGTGTGTCTGTGAGGGCATTTCTGGGTGAGATTAACATTTGAATTCATAGACTGAGTAAAGCAGATTCCCTCTTCAATGTGGGTGGGCCTCATCCAGATGTTGAAGACCTGAATAAAATAGAAAGGTTGAGCAAGAACCAGAATTTATAAGGTTGGTTTTCTTGGTTCGTAAGCTTCATACGTGGACTGGAACATACAACTGGCTTTCCTGGGTCTCTATTTTGTCCCTTCTTAGGGGACCTCCATTACATGTATACTGGATTTTTTCACTGTGTTCGCTAGGTCTTGTGCATATGACGTTTCTGTATTTTCTATTGCTTTATCTCTCCATTTTTTTTTTATTCTGGACATTTTCTTTGACTTATTTTCAAGTCTACTAACTCTTTCCTTATCTACATCTAGTCTTCTGTTAAATTTCACGGATTGAATTCTAAATGTTTGTATTGTCTTTTCAGTTCTAGAATTTCAAATAAATTGTTTCAGATAATTTCCAGTTCCCTGATGCAATAATCTTACATCTTATTTCCTTGCACACACTTATCATAGTTGAAGCCTATGTCTGATGACTCCGTTCTCTGCGGTCCTTGTATGTCTTTTCTACTGTCTATTATTTTTCTTTGGTTATTTCTTTTTTAAAAGAAATACTTATTTTTAGATGTAGTTGGACACAACACCTTTATTTTATTTATTTTTATGTGGTACTGAGGATCGAACCTAGGGCCTCACACTTGCTAGGCGAGCGCTCTACCACTGAACCACATCCCCAGCCCTTTTTGGTTATTTCTATGTGAGATCCAAACATGGTATTTGAAAAATTACAAAGATAATTTTAGGCTTAGAATATAATTTTCCTCTGGAGGTGAATTTTTATTTACTTCTGGAAGGAGGCAGATTATCTTAATACAATCAAAAGTCCTTTCTTATTATGGTTAGGCCATTTATGGATTATCATTACTCCTTGGGTGTAGAACTCGGAGATCTTGTCCTGAAGCTCGATAAGGAGGTCACTAAGGCCCTTCCTTAGCAGGCTCCAAGCACCCTTATTTGTTATCCCAACCTATAATCCTGTAGAAAGTTCTCCACAGCTTTTCAGTCTCCCAAATTTATATCAACTTTTGAAAATTAGATTATATCCCTGGGGGAAAGGCAGCCCCCCAACCAATGCTGAACTCATTTCTCTTGTTTTCTATCTCCCACATCTTGGCCCTGCAGTGAAAATATTCATTTAAAGGACAGCAGCTGTTCCCTCCTTCTTGCAGAACATTAGTACTTCCCTAATAGCTTCTGAAAAATCACTCATCTCTGCCACTGGTGGGATAGCCATGCTTGCTGTGCAGGGTGGGTGAGGATTGCATGAGGTAACTAAGGGAAAGTACTTGGTGAGTTTTCTAATAATCACGTTTCCCTCTCTCTAGTCTCTAGAAAGCTCAAAGCCACGTTGTGATCCTTGCAGCAACATATGATTCAGAACCTTATGATGTCTGTGGTGGAACAATCTTGATTCAACTCCATTGTGTGGTCTGTAATTACCTGCTTCAGGTATGTACCTTAAATCTTATTTTATTACAAGTATGCTTATTAGCCTCCATAACTTTCATAGAAAGTAGGAAATAAAGAAGCAAAGGAAATAATTTTAGCACAGTTATCTTGAACTACCATGTGTATACATATGATAGAAAACTCTGATATAGTACAGGATGGAGCCACTTTCCCCGGGCAATAGAACATCAAAATCCCTGTCTTCTCTTGCCATGCTAGTCAGCATGGCTCATCCTGGAACATTCCTTACTCATCCTTCAAGGTACAAGTCAAGAATCCCTCTTTCAGAAAGTCTCACCTGGTCTCTCCACATAAATGTCTTTCCTTAATCATATTGAGCTGTATGTTATTGGACAGTGACTTGTCCTACAAACCTCAATTTCTTTATACACCTTACCATCTACAATGTCTAGAAAGAGAAATTACTTTGAATTGAGTTATTTTAACACCTTTACTGAACTATAATTAGCATGCAATAAACTGCATGTATTTAAAGTATACAGTTTGGTAAGTTTTGACCTATACATATGCTACCTATAAAATCTTCAACACTATCAAAATAATGAACACTATCAAAATATCCACCACAGTTTATCTATTCATTTGTTGATGGACATTTAGGTTGTTTCAAATTGTTGGCTATTAAAAATAAAGGTGACATGAACCAGGCATGGTGGCACACACCTGTAATCCCAGCGGCTCTGGAGTCTGAGGCAGGAAGATCACAAGTTCAAAGCCAGCCTCAGCAGTAGTGAGGTGCTAAGCAACTCAGTGAGACCTTGTCTCTAAATAAAATACAAAGTAGAGCTGGGGATGGTGGTTGAGTGCCACTGAGTTAAACCCTCAGTACCCTCCAATAAATAAATAAACAAATTAATTAACTAATTAATTAATTAAAGCTGACATGAACATTCATGTACAAATCTTTGTCTAGACAGGTACTTTTTTCTTCAGGGATGAATATCTAGAAGTGGAATGATTGGATCATGTGGTAGATATTTCCTTAACTTTTTAAGAAACCATCTATTCTGGCTTTCCATTATGGTAACAAAACACCTAAGACAATCAACTTATACAGAGGAAAGGTTTACTTTGGCTTATACTTTTGGAGTTTCAGTCCATGATCAGGTAGGCCCATTGCTTTTGGGGCCCATGGAAGGGCAGCACATCGTGGCTGTAGCATGTAGTGGAGTGAAACCATTTACTTTATGGCCAGCACATGAAAAAGAGAGGATGAGAAGGGCTGAGGTCCCAGCATCCCCAACAGAGGCTTACCTTCCTCTAGGCCCCATATTCTAATAGCACCACGGACTAGGGAAAAAGCCTTCATCACAGGGACCATTGGGACATTTCAGATGGAATCTTAAGGTACCACCAAACTGTTTCCCAAAATGATTGTGCCATTTTACATTCCCAACAGCAGTATAAGACAGTTTCTCCACACCCTCCCGGCCGTTGATATGGTTAAGGTGAGTCTTTTTTGCAGGGTGAGGTACTGGGGAATGAACTCAAGGGCACTCCACCAATGAGCCACATCCCAGCCATATTTTGTATTTTATTTAGAAACAAGGTCTCACTGAGTTGCTTAGTGCCTCACCATTGCTGAGGCTGGCTTTGAAATCACCATCCTCCTGCCTCAGCCTCCCAAGCCGCTGGGATTACAAGCATGCTCCACCATGCCTGGCAGAGTGAGTCTTTTTAATGTTATCCATTCTAACAGAAGTGATGTGGTGTCTCATTGTAGTTTTCATCTGTAATGACAGACAATGGTAAGGATCTTCTCATGTTTTTTTTTTTTTTTTTTTTTTTTTTTTGCATCTATTTATCTTCTTTGGTGTCTGTTCAAATATTTTTGTTCTTTTTTATTGCATTGTTTTCTTATTGAGTTTTGAAGATCTTTATACTTTTTGAACATAAATCTTTTATCATATACAGGATTTACAAATATTTTCTCCCAAACCTGGATTGTCTTCTTGTTTGCTTAGGCCTTTTGAAGAGCAGAAATTTTAAACTTTGATCAAATCCAAGGTGAGCCAGCCCATCATAGGGAAAGAGGCCGGAGAAAGAAAGTTGCTCAGCCTGGCAGAGTCAGGAAGCAGGGGGGTAAGATGTACCCTTCCAGGGCTCGCCTCCCATTTATCCATTTGTTCTTTCATAGATTGTACTTTGGGTGACATACCTAAGAAATCTTTGATAAACCCCAAATCACAAAGGTTTTCAAAACTATCAGATTTTCTTCAGTTTTTTGGTTGCAGGCAGTACATTTAATTATGGCCCATTCAGAGTTAGGTTTTAATTACGGAATAAGGTATTCCATAATTTCAAGTTCATTTTTTTTCCTCTATGAAAATACAATTATTACAGTATTACTTCTCAGAAAGACTGTTTTACATCCACTGAATTACCTTTGTATGTTTATTGAAAATCGTTTGTCCTTATACACATGAAAGTTTTTCTGGACTTTCTGTTCTGTCCCATTATTCCGTTTGTCCATCTTTACACCAATATTATTCTGTCTTAATTGCCATATGTTTTAGTTAGCTTTTTTGACACTGTGACAAAAACACCCAACAATAACAGCTCTAAAAAAGTTCATTTAGGGCTCATGGTGTCAAAGATCTCAGTTCATGGATGGCCAACTTCACGGTTACTGGTATATAGAAATACAATTAATTGATTTTTTTTTTTTGGATGTTGATCTACTACTCTACCATCTCACTAAGCCTTCTTATTAGTTTTAGTAGCTTTGTATAGATTACCTCAGATATTTTTACCTTGACAGGTATGTCATCTATGAGTAGACATTCTTCATTTATACTCTGGATGACTTATTTCTTCTTGAATAGAATTGAGATTTTGTGGTCCTGGAAGTATAGATACCTGATTTTTAATGCAATTCTGCCATAACTCATGGGCAGCCTTTGGCAAATTATCCAGGGTAACTGATTAAGGGGCATCCAGGATAACTGATTAAGGATACATATGTCCCTCTCTGAACCCTGATTACCCTCGGAAGTGATCTCCATGTTCTCTGTACCAGTTTGCCCCCTTCCACTTCTAACATTCAATCAGACTAAGAAGGCACTCTGAAAGGCGTCAGTGCCCAAGCAAGCCACGGCCTCCAGGCTCTGACTCCTACCCTCTTCCTGCTAAGCAGTTGACTCACTGAGCTCATGACCGTTGGGCTGAGTGTCATTTCTCCTCTCTCCTCAACCTTCCAGTAAAATAGAGGAGTGGCTACATTCCATCATTCTTCCACCATTTGTTGTACCGCCTCCTGTGAGCAAGGCCCAGTCTGCAAAGATGGGTGGGCATAGGCTTGAAGCTTTTGATTCACAACAAAACTAGCTAAAAGCCATTTACAAATAAAAAGCAATTTATTTTTCTTTTCTTTGAGATACTTTCCATTCTCTTGCTTCCGAATTCAGTCCTTTTCAATAGTGTAGTGTTATACTCCTCTTTCATGGGCTGTGGTGGGGCAGATTAAAAAGCTCAGGGGAAAAAATACTATCCTCTGGGAACTGAAGAACCCAGCAGGAGATGGCTTATTTGCTCTCCATCCACATGGAGAGGAACAGTCAGGCAAATGACAATGAATTATGTTGGAAAAGTCCAGAATCCTTGAAAATAGGAAATTCAGACAACCCCAGGTGATGGTGGAAATGAGAAGTAGAAAGGACTTCTATTCTTTGGAGTGATCACCACCTGGACCTCACTTTTTCTGAGATGGAGCTCACCTCCCATCCAAAGGAAAGCTCATCCAGCCTCCTTGGCATCCAGAGCACAGGGCAGCACCTCAGCCTGCCAATCAGATGCCCTCACTTCAACCCTTGAACCCAAAGCTGGCAGTATAGGAACCATACAGGCTCCTTTTTTGGCAAGTGGTAGCAGCTATTTCTGGTGCCCTGAAACCTTGGGAGAATCCACTATCAGGAATTGTCTGGTTTCTAAAATCCAGAATCATCTATTCTGATCCTTTTGTTTTACAAATGCAGTGTGGAAATAATGAAGAACCATCAAATGAACACCGGCAAAGGCTATTCACTCAGAACTTGCTTTAGAACGGGAGTCAGCCCCGCTTCACCTGCATTTTAACAGAGATGGTAAAGCAGGCGGAGGAGAGGGAGGGTTGTAGTGGAAAAGGGGAAGGTTTTAGGTGTGCCCTGACGGGAGGCTGTTGACATGGGGAAGCCATAGGTAGGCGAACTACAAGTGGGGCATCCAGGGTAACTGATTAAGGATACATATTTGACTTTTTCTAGTTGGTCTTACATTGGAGGCAGAGACAAAAATTAGGGCAGTTGTCAGTTACTAATCAAGTCATGACCATTGGGGGCCAGTTGCTACAGGGACATTACTTCCTGGGTTTATGAATAGAAGAGTGGTCTAACTTTCTACAAACATGACTTAAAAGACTGTAGTGGCCTGGCTTCCTGGACTCTTTATTGTAAATATTGGGCTTGTTTACTGGGCTGGTGCTGCAAATTGTGGGTCAGAGTTCTATTTTACATAGAGTCTGACCACTGTCTATGTGTATATTCCATCGGGTCAGCAGAAACTGAGGCCCACAGAGGAAGAGTACAGCTAATTGTAGCAAGTGCTGATTGGCCCATCTGAGGGTGACCATGTTTCTCCTGTCATTACCAAAGAAGCTGACGTTCTGTTTGTTGGGGGAGACAAGTTAGATTCCCGGAGAGACAAAATTCAACATGGATGTCATAGAGAGAGGTTGCACTGGGAGGTTAATGGCTTATTCTGCAGCTTGGCAAGAAGGCTTGTCACTTCCCTGATGCAGCCAGAACCATGGGTGGTCAGGCACGTTCTCTGTACTGGGCCTGCTGTCCTTACAGAAAAGTGCAGAGAGAAAAAGCATGGTTCTCCAGCCTGCCTACCTGCATTCCTCTTTAACATCCACCATCCGTAGCTGTGTGAACTTGGATTAGATTCTCTACTTCCTTGTTCTTCAGTTTCCTCAGGTGTGAAATGGAAATAATCCCTATCTTATGCTCGTGTGCAAACTAGATGAGCAGACCTGAGCAACACACGTAAACACTTCGGCAAATGAACTATTACAATCCCATTAAGTCCTCGAATCAAGTCGGTGAGGTAAGTCATATAATCCCCACTTTGTAGATAAAGAAACTAAGGATGGTGATGTCACTTGTCCAAAATGGTGAAGGTCAAAGTCAGAATTTTCACTCATGTTTCTAGGAAGATAAAGGTCATTATTTTTGTCTACCATGCTTCTGAACCCAAAATACCATTTGTGGGAAAGAGAACAGTGGGGTAGAAACTATGTAGGACTGTAGTCTCAGGAGTCCCACATTCAAGTCTTGGTTCTCTATTAGCTATAAAGTATTGCACAAATTACCTACCATCTCTGGGTATATTATCACTTTTAAACTGATGATAATACTACCTGCTTCACAGGGCTGTTTTACAGATTAAATACCATAATGTATATGAAGTTCCGATATAGTGCTCAGCACATGGGAAATACTTAAGAAATGACAACTATTTTTTCTACAGTCCCCCTTGTCTTCAGGAGGTATATTCTGAGTACCCCAGGGGATGACTGAAACCAAGGATTGTATTGAACTCTCTGTATAGTTATTCCTCAGTGTCTGTAAGGAATTGGTTTCAGGCCCCCTTTCCTCCCCCCAGGATACCAAAGTCCAAGGGTACTCAAGTCCCTTATGTAAATGGTGCAGTATTTGCCCATAACCTGTACACATCCTCCCATACACTTTAAATCATCTTTTAGATTACTTATAATACTTAATACAATGCAAATATTATAGGAATATCTAATACTGTATTTTTAGGGAATAACAACAAGAAAAATGTCTGTACATATTCAGTACAGACACAACCTTTTTTTAATCCACAGATGCAGAATCATCAGATTCAGAGGACTGTGTGTGTGCTATTCTTCTCCTGTACATATATTCCTATGATGAAGTTTAATGTATAAATTAGACACCACAATAACTAAATGAAATAGAACAATTTTAACAATATACTGTAATAAAAGTTATTTAAATCTTATAAATTGTTTACTTCTGGAATCTTCCATGTAATGTTTTCAGATGATGGTTGACAGTGGGTAACTGAAATTGCAGAAAGTGAAGCTGAGGGTTAGGGGAGACTGTTGTATGTGATTGAAAGGGACTGTCAAAAACCATTCTGCAGAGTCTGCCCCTCGACAGCCCTGCTTTCATGAAGTTTTCCCTAACCCCAAACTGGATTTGACCTCTCCATTGTTGAATTTCCCATTATCAGTGCTGGGTAAGGCAAGCAGAGGAGAGACAAGGAGGAGCAGATGGGTCCTGCCAGTGGAGGAATAGACAGGCAAAGAGGTGATCGGTCAATGGCAACATGGTAACACAGAGCCCCCCCAAACTAACACATCCCATGACCCAGACCTCCAGAAGAGTCCAAAACACTTTCTTAAAAAAAAAAAAAAAAAAGTGGAGAAGGCTTTGTCCTCGGCTCTACAGGTGAACCTCAGACAACCCCATCTGGAAGACCAGATCCTCAGCAGGTAAAAGCACCCTCCCCTTTGCCATCCTTCGAAGGCAATGATTCTCATTTTAGCACTGAAGTCCACATAGCTGGCTTCTCAACTCTCTTCCTGAAGATTCAAAGCTAAGTTAAGCCAAGTTTGTTTGTCAGACAGAACTAGGAGACATGCAACGGAAAAATCTGGTAGAAGAGGGATTAAAAAGGATAAAAATCTCAGAAAATAGGTGACAGTAAGGGGATATGAATAATATAAAAGTAGAAAACAGAAAAGACCCTCTTTTGCATCACCTGAGAAGGGGTTTCTGATTTCCAGAGGAAGAAGCTAAATTTCAAGAAGGGTAAGTTCTGTACCCAAAATCACTCTGGGAATGAGAATTGAGTTATGATTTGAACACATCAAATAAGATCTGGGGAGAAAAAAATACTTAAAGGTGATTGTCCATGGATTGTGGGATTATGGATGATTTCAATTTTCTATATATTTCTCTGTATTTTCCAAATTTTCTGTACTGAGCAGTTGTTACTTGTATACTGACAAAAAAAAGTATATCAGGTTTAATATTTGAAGTTACTAGAAGTTCATAATATTTTATGTTCAAGTTATTAAATACTAATTAAAGTCATTGTTTAACCTTAATAATACTTAAGGTTATTATTATATTATAATAATATAACATTTACTTAATATACTTAAGGTTATCTTATTACTTAACTTTAATCATATTTAAGGTTTATAGCATTTCAAAGGTATATCAGGGTCCAGGCTAAGGACAGAGAGCGGAAATTAGAGGCAACCAAAGTGCTAGCTGAAGAAGCTGGGGAATCAGCCTGAGTCTGTTGTTTCTGAATTTGGAAAAACTAAGCTAAGAAGCTGGGGTATAATTCAGAGTAAGGGGCGAAGAGCAAGGAAGGAACCAGACTCTGGGAGTCCAGGGAAGCTCAAACTGAAGAGGGTTTGGAAAGAGAACATTTTGGCTTAACAAACACAGAGACAAATACTTGACTCAGCAACAACCAGAACCCGGAACAAGACAGAATCCAAAATGGGAAGGCCGCCCAGAGGGCAAGCTTCCTGGGCAAGGCTGTGGATCTAGGCTCTGGGTCTGTGTGTTCTTGACCCTTGTCCTGGAGCCCCATGCCCACTGTGTTTGGCGTTGTCATCAAGAGTCCTGGCACGGCATGGCGGTATGGGAACCAGGATGAGAGAGGAAACAGGTTTCAGAGAACACTGTAAGCATGGAGCCAAAGCCAAGGTCCTTTCTGTGCATCTGTCCTGGAATCAGAGAGACAAGTAAATTAAGAAGTAGAGCCGGGAATGAATTCCCAGGAGGAAGAAGGCCAAGTTCTTGCTTCCATCTTCCTTCCCGAAGGAGCAAGAGGACCCTGAGCAAATAAAGACTCAAACTCATCCACAACACTTTTTCTCACCAGAAGCATTTTCAAACACCAAGCAAAGAAAGCTTTATTAACAGAACTACATGTTGACCATGCAGGATTCCACACCTGGAAGGTACACTATAGGGGTTGGAGTCGGGTTGGAGTGCTCAGTATTGTAAGACAGGTCTGCAGTTTCATCAGAAGATCTTCCATAACATCCATAATAGTGGCTACTGGTTCAATTTTAAATATCTCACATTGGCATTGGCAGTGAGTAGATATGTCCTTAGTGCCCCTCCAGCCACTCTTAGAATTTAGAGGCTTTGTTTACAGTATGAAAATACATCACCTGCCTTAGTCAGGCTATAAATATAGCCTGGGAATGTTTTTCCATCTCATATTCAAGTCGAAAAATAAATAAGCTCAATAGCAAAAAAATAAATAAATAATTAATAAATAAATATATCTAACAGCAGAAGAGATATTACAAAAATCCTATAAGATTTTGGTCCAAATTAAGATTAGGGACACATAAAGATGACCACATAAGGAAACAACTAATGAATAAATAATCTACACTGTGACCAGCACTAAATTATATGGCAAAGATATCGTGGCTTGGGGTCATGTCTCTGTGGTCCAGGGGACTAGGATGCTTGCTCAGGAGTATTCTCAGCTGCCTCATCACGTCACTCCTATTCTGTCTCCTCCATCCATCGTAGAAGAATGTCTAGTTCCCCCAAAGCCTTCACCACTGCTTCTTGAAGGTCAAGCTGAAAGAGACACACATGGTTAGCAACTCCTCTGGCTTCAGGATTAATTTTCTTCTCTCCCATTGGTAGGTCTGTTGGGAATTCTAAACAGAGCATTCTTTTCAAGACCAAGAGCTTTAAAGAAGTATTATAATCTCAAGTGTCACACGATGAAAGGAAACCATGGAGTCTATCACCCTGGCTTATCATCCCTATTTTTTTACATAGGGAAACTGAGGCCCAGGAGGTACCAGAATTGAAACTCCAACCTAAGTCTCTGATTCACAGAGCTCAAGAATAAGGCTGTTTTAAGAAGTTTGTGTGTGTGTGTGTGTGTGTGTGTTTGTGTGTAAGGACTGCCTACTGTGCACACTTCAATAATAGGCTAATGTGAGGGATGGCCCATGTGACCTTAGAGAGCTCTTAACCTGAGGGCTACAGGATTTCTACCAGCACAACATACATCCCACCCGTCTATGATCTCAGTTCCAACAGCACACTCATCCCAACCAATGCCAAACTCCATACCTTCTCGAAGTGACTCAGAATCTGGCTATATTTCTCCGTTGCTTCTTCCCCACAATGGCATGTCATGCGGGCATGCTGAAAAGGACACAAAGAATGATTTTACTTAAAATTCTGATTTTCTGCCCTTGCCAGTAACATGAGCAGGTGGGAATTATCTTTTACCCACAATCCTGTGAACTCTCATTCCTGTGGAAAATTCCTTTCTGACTTCCTTATTTGGGATTATTAAACTAATCATCTACTAGAAGAGGAAATCAGTGTTTTAGCTTCAAATATAGAGCTCATTGTGTTTTTTAGAATGAGGCAGTGTTGGAGGCGTTTGTGATTACTGGGCCCTCAGATGGTCTCCCCACACCAGCTCTTGTTTGGAGCTCTTGTTTTGAGTTGCAGAGCAAATCTAATCCCTCATGGGAAGAGAACTCTGAATTACAAGGTCCTATTCACCTGACCACAGGATGCATTAAGACACTGTACTCACCTCACCTACAGAAAAGGTATAATTTTGTGGATAATAGGTGATTATCACGAATATCAATTAGCTAGCACTTTTTAGTTTTTAAACTTTAAAAATTACTTTTTGCATATACTCCAAAATCAATGAAACTGAGTTTTTAGAACTAGTCACATAGATGAACAAAGATTATTAGAACTTTTGAACTCAGTTTCTCCATCCATTCAATGAGAGCAGGAAAGAGAACTTGACTGCTAAGTCACTGAAGCTATGGGCTCAAGATGGATCCTGTCACCCCAAACCCTTACTCACACAAAGCCGGAGGCCCTTCTTGATGGTAAGAAAGGAATTGGCGAGACTGCTGATGTTCCGGAGGGTATTATGGTCAGAGGTCTGGTAGTTTTTGAAAACTCTGTCCAGGTAGAGTCTCAGTAAATGGCGGAGAAGGCAGCACCGAGCTGAAGGCTGCAGAGAAGACAAAAAGACAAAAGTGTTGGTGGGAGGAGGGGAAGGGGCAGACAAGACCAGGGTGATGGAAATGCTCTGGCTTCAGACTTCCTCCCAGAACCCACCTGGGCCAAGCACATACCTTTGTGTCTTGCAAAGACTCGGTCCTCCTTAAGATTCTGATGTCAATGTTTTCATCTTTGGCTTGCTAAATAGAAAGCAAGACAAGAAAAGACAGGTCATCAGCTGCTGCCATGGTCTTAGACACCACAACCTCCCGCTGCCAGGGCCTGGTGGGAGGAATCCTTCTCCAAAGCATTTTAACATTCTGAACTATTGACATTTCTAGGGACGCAGCGTCCTGGTAAGGTGACCCCAGCCCTCCTCTTTTCATGACCACATGGCCAGGGCTACCAGGGAAGACAGACAAGGAACAAACAGAACAGGCAGGGAGGTGCATGCCTCCCTCACATACCACAGCGTCCCGAATCTTGGAGAAACCGCTTTGTATTTCCTCGAGGTTTGTGGTGATCACACAGCTTCCCAAGTGGAGAGTCTTGAACCCAGTCGAAGGAGCCCAGAGGAGACAAAACACAACAGAGAGAAGACCAAAGGCAAGACGGGAGCCTTTCATCTTATGTCTGGAATCTGGAGACCACGGAAGCTGGGGATTCAAAAGAAAGAAATGTGACTTACTCATTTCCCATCTCATCCTTTAGAAGCCAACCCAGCCACCAGGGACATGCCTCCCCAAGGTGTCCACTGGGGGGCAGAGGAACCAAACAGGCTCATCTGGCTCTAACAGTACTGTTCATTCACACAACTCACTGAGAAAAGCTGTGGAGTCTCCTGCAGAGAAAAGCCTTCAGGTACCTGCTCCAGCCTAAGCGTGGTATGGTACCACAGGTCCCTGGTCCTTTATCCTGTACCTATCCCAGCTCTGCCGTCATTGCCCAACAGGGAAATCTGGAGCCGCAGGTACTCACAGTGAATAGACAGAGGATGACATTTCATGGGAAATGCCAAAACTTGTTTTGGGGAAATGACGTACATAGATTTCTCTTCCAGGATGCCAGTGTAGCTCACCCTTCTGGTCCCCTTAGACCCTCAGGGAACTGGGGAAAAAAGCAAAATCTCACTAAAGTCATGACTGTGCCACCAAAAATACTTAGGAAAAAATTGTCTGAATTTTTATGGTCACCCACAGGGTAGAAGTGCTTTGCTCTGTCTGGCATTTGTCTGAGATCAAAGTGATTATGGAAGACTAATAGATTCATTTGGCCCCAAAGGCAAATACAAAGTCAATGATTCATAACAGTACTACTGCCAGAGAAAGGAAAGACCTGACAGATGATTGGTGGAATTTCACCTCACATCTCTTGCTGGGAGGAACCCGGGGTTCCCACAGCACCCCCTACAGGAGGAATGTAGTCAGGCACTCCTGGGATGAACCTATAACCATGCTTTCCTGGTCTAGCATCTCAGAAGAGGATAAATGAAGTGATCCCCCCAAAGGAAAAGAAAGACCGTGAGGGAACTGCAGTAAGGCTGCTCAATAAGAGGAAAGTTTATGGTGTCTGTTGAGTTTTGAGATTAAACAAGAATGGCCTGCCGTTAGGGGAAGACAAGCCAGGGTGGAGGGGGACAAGTTCAAGGAGACACCAAAACACTTAGTCATTAAGATAAAGCATACAGTTGGGCATGGTGAGAGACCCTATATCAAAATAAAAAGGGTTGGGGATTTAGCTCAGTGGTAGAGTGACCCTGGGTTCAATCTTCAGTACCACCCCGGCACCAAAGATATGTTAAAGCAATATCAAAATGAATTTAAAATATCTGCAATAAAAAAAAATACCAAAATCTTAAAAACAGAATCTGACAGTGCCCTGCTGAGCTACTGGAACAAAAGGAAAAATATGCACATCTATACATATGCTTTCACATATTTTTATGGTTACCTTTTATCTCAAAAACATATGATGAAAATATAATTGATGACTTTTTGTCCCTTGAAATCAGAGAAGGAAAATTATAAGAAATTTGGGGGCATAAATAAAATATTTAATTTAAAATAATGTTGTGAGTTTTAATAAACCTATTACTTAATTTTTCAATATTTTTTCAACTACTTTTAATATTTTGGGAAAATGGCATACATAAAATACAAAAACATGCATACATACACACACATATACACTTGTCTTTCCTTTCACCTTGATTGCCCGGCTTTGGCACAATCCTAATAATCATTAGCATTTACTGAATTCCTCCACTGTGCCAAGCAATATGCTAGACACTTTTTTTTTTATTTGCGACCACCCTAGATACTGCCAAATGTAGGAAAGGCAATAAACCAGAGAAACCCAAAAGTTTCAGAGGGAACCATGGATTTGCAGACAAGAGAACTATGTAGTAAATCCCTTCTCTACAAGTTCGCATCCACGTAGGTTGTCCCGCTTTGCCCAGGGATGTGGGGGTTTCTGAGATATACAAGAATCTTAAAAATGGAAAATAACAGGCAAACTAGAATGAGCTATCCGCCCTGTAACTATGTGACCTTGCACAAATCAACTCATCTCTTTGAGTTTCATTTTCTTAGCCCAAAAATGATGATAATAAAACTTACCCTAGAAACTTATTTCAACATTGAATAATCTGTTGTTTATATACCTAGCACATTATCAGTGATCAATTCATTTTAAGTAGAGATTGATGATAGTTGCCTTAAACTTAAGATATATGTAAAATTACCATAAATTCAACAATTGAGTCAGCATTCATTGAACACCCAGTGTCCTGAATGTTGTTCCTGGTACTGAGTACAGAGATAAACATAGCAGTTTCTTGTCCTTCAAGAGATTGCATCCCCATGGAAAAGGTTCCTTTGGACATGGCACTCCACATACCTTGGTGAATGACTGGGAAGACCGCGCTGATCTCCAGACCATGCAGAAGGCTCTTACTGGACCTGCAGAAGAGCTGTTGCTTCAGACTCCTAGGAGTCTGTTTCAAGCTGAGAGGCTCCAGTTATTATATACATGTTACATGAAGGAAGTGAGCTCGTCCAGGTGAGATTTGAAACTCCCACGTAATTTCTCTTTTGGCTTCCAAATTCCTCAAGAGCTAACGTAGTGTAATAGCACCAATACCTTCCTCTTCCAGCAAGGACGGCCTGAAAGGATTAGTGACTACAGATGTGGATAAAGGATGTACCTCATCTGGCCCCGCCTTCCTGTTTGGTAAAATGGTAGTTGGGACAGAGAAGATCTGAATTGCAGAACTGGAAGAGAATTTCAGGGTGTGCCTTTGCCTTCTCCTCTAAATCCAGTTCTTAAACAAGTTTCTCTCCAACTCCTGCTGTTTCTCTTTGCTTTTGCTCTTTCTACCATTGCTTTCCAAAATGGCCACACTTCCTTTTCTCCATTTATCATTAAAGAGGAGATGCCTTTATCCCTGAACTACTCTGGCTTACACCAACTACTCCCTTCTCTGACCTCCAATAGCAGATTTTCCTTTGGCACATGAGAGCATCTGGTTTATGGGCATTAACCTTTTCTCACCATGGCACTGGAAGATTTTCTAAGACAGAAACTAATTATGTAAGATCACACTTCCAGGCAAGGTTAAATTCAAGCACTTGAGACAAATTACAGACAACTATTTTAAAAAGATCAAGATGGTAGAGATTATAATATGTTCCTTTTTTACTTTTCCCCTATTCAGTACCTGAAACTCTGAGCTCTTATATCAGAACCCAGGAATTCTACAGTAAACAGGCTGACTTTGGCACATCCTTTCTGGATTCAGTTTATGAATCTATAAGACGACAGCAGCAGAGTAGATAACACACAATTTCAATTCTGACATTCAATGGTTTATTGCTTTTCCACCTTTGAGATCAGAAAGCTCTTTTTAACATCTCTCAATATTTTCCTAAAGCTCCCGGAAAGTGAAGGTCATGCTTCATAAATATGGCAAATATGCGTGGATATAAATAATCTAAATATCTCTTAAACTATTTAAACTCATGTCTGTTTTTTTTCCCATCAATGGTGCTAGGTAAGTAAACATAAACACCATTTCATCTAAAATTGGGGAATGTGGTCTGACAAGAATACTTGAAGTTTGCATAGGCTGTACTTCTGGCAGTCAATTCTTTTTCATTAACCAGGAAAAAAATGTAATTGCTTTGGATTTTGTTTTGCTTTTGTTTGGTACTGGCCATTGAACCCTGGGGCACTGAGCTATATCCCAGATCTCTTTCGTTTTTAATTTGAAACAGGGTTTCATTAAGTTGCTGAGGCCGCCCTTGAACTTGTGATCCTTCTGCTTCAGCCTCCCAAGTCACTGGGATTACAGAAATGTGCCACCATGCCCACCCACGGTTGCTTTGTTTTAGGCTACCTCTAATGGTCAGTTGAACTCAGTAAATGATACCCAATCCTGGTTTTACTTGAATAATCAAGTATCCTCCTTTCCTGTACCAAAATACCATGTTCTTGAGCTAGGGATGTGGCTCAGCAGTAGAGTGCTCACCTAGCATTCTTGTAGCCCTGAGTTTGATCCCCAACACCACACACACACACACACACACACACACACACAATACTATATTCTTTTAAATTCCTCTGGCTAGATCCCACATCCTGCTGTATCAACACTAATTCAACTCATCTCCTCTACAAAATATTCCCCGCCTCACCCTAAATTCAGCCTTCACTCTAATTTACAAGGCAAATTTGATCTTTCCCACCTTTTCACATCAGTCTTACCTTATATATAGCTTTTTTAATTTATCAAAGTCAAATACAACTTTTTGATCACATGTCTGTGTTTTCTGGTGGCCTGAGAACTCTTTGCTCATCTTGCTCAATGATGACCACTGAATAAACTTATTGATTTATAATTGTTTCCTCTTTATGCTGTGTCCCAAAGCGTGAGCTCCATGATTTAATTTAGGGGACCATAAGCATCTTCTTCAGTAAGGTCTAGATCCCTGTTTCCTCCTGGTAAGGAATTCTATCATAATGGCAAGAATGCTATCAGATGATGTTATCCCTGCCCTGCTGAATCATTAGAGCCTGAAATGACTTTCAGTACACTTAGTCCAATTCCCTCACTTTGTAAATGGGGAAACTACAGTTCAAAGAGGTGAAGGAACTTGCCCTAGGTCACTTGGCTGGTAAGAGGCAGATTTGGCAGTTGAACTCAGTAAGAGTTCATTCCACTGCATTTTGAACTCCTCTCCTATAGCAAATTGCTTCCCTTTAATATGAGACAGGGAGAAAAGTATTTCTTACGTCATAGTTCTGGCAGAAGAAATGAGTATTCAATGGAAAGTATGTATAGGGTGTTGACACTCCCAGTGCAAGGGACCAAGAGCCAAGAAACACAACTCTTCCTCCTCCTGTTCCTCCTCCTCCTGCTGCTCCTCCTCCTCCTCCTCCTTCTTCTATTTTTCTTTTTAGGAGGAAAGTTTTATTTTGATTCGTGGTTTCAGAAGTTCAGTCCATGGTCTGCCAACTCCATAGCTCTGGCCCAAGGTGTGGCCGGACATCAAGGTGGACATGGGTGGAGGAAGTGACTCAGGACATGGTAACCAGGAAGTGGAGAGCTAGGAGACCCAATTCGAATACTCATTTCCCCACCAACTTTCAGTGTGACCTTGAGTGACACAGACTACTCCTTATGCTTTTCAGGCATTCAGTATTTCATCAAAAAAAAAAAAATGGGGCTATCCACCTTGCCTGTCTGGTTCACCAAGTTGGCAGGAGGAATATTTATACAAACCTTTAAGTACATAAAGTGATCTTTATCATCCCTTGTGTCTGACAGAATGGATTTTTAATGACATGTTAAACATTATCCAAGTGCCTACATGTGCAAGAAACTGTGCTAAATGTTGTGAGGATTTTACAGGTGTCCAGACAGGTCTCTGGCCCTATATTTACAT